GTGAGTCAGGAACAGGAAAACTGGAATAGACACTTACATTTTAAAGGTGGAGGGAGGGAAGACATGAGACATATACAAGTCAGTGGACCACAGTAATTCTGAAGTTCTTGGCTTTGCCCTCTGAATAATCTTTCTTTTTCCATAAGAAAGAGCTTCTGTTTTTAGTTGAGTAGCTTTGCAGCCTATGTCCTGTCTGTAGAAAATTGAGGGTTCAAATGTATCTTTTCGTTTTAAACTATCCATGTTTCTTTTAGTCCAAGATGCTATGGTTCTCTGAAAGATTTTTTTGCGCTTCCTGTGTATCAAATTAAGATCTTAATTAGCCAAATGTTACACTTCCAAATATCTTCCAGACAGGACTCTATTTCTTTGGGCTGAGAGTCAGGGTGCTATGGCAAAATATCCTTAAGAATTTTAGAAGTGCTCCTGTCTAGCAGAGAGGGCCTAGATACCACCTAAGATTCTTAGAATATTTTTTGTCTGGCTGAGAAGGTCTGTAAGGCACCACCTTAAATCTTTTTGAGGTCTTAGCAACAGATCTTATAGCCACACCTATTGATTTTGACTCTAAAACTACATTCCAATGAACCCACTCTTTTCAAGGTCCCCAAGGACTTCCATATTACCAAATATGATTATCAATTCTCAGACCTCATCTTCTTGACTGCTTAGTAGCATTTGACACAAATAATTGCACTTTTTTTTGAAAGTGATTTTTTTCGTTGGCCATTTGTAATATCAAATTCTCCTGGTTCTCTGTCTTCCTCACTGCCTGATCTCTGCTGGGGAAGTCTCCTCTTCCAACTTCTAAATGTAGAAGTGTCCCAGGCCAGTCCTTGTATTTTCTCTTCCTAACCTTTCTAGGTGATTCCTTGAGTCCTGTAGCTTTAAAATATTAATATCATGTATAAATGAATGACTCCAAAATCTCTGAGCCCTTCCTTGAACTCCAGATTATATATGTAACAATTTGCTCCACTTAGATTTCTTATAGATGTCTTGTAGAAATGTCACACTTAACATGACCCAACTGAACTCTTAATTTCACCTCCATCAACTCTCTACCCCCAACTTAAATTCTCTCCTCTTAATGTTTTCTATGCATTTGATTTCTTTAGCATATAGACATTCCAGGCATTGTTTCTAGCTGTATAGAATATGTTGTTGAACAAAAAGGACAAAATAAATGCTTTTGTGGAGCTTATATTCTTATAAATGGCACTTATAAATTTTTAAGAGCAAAATTCTAGGAGTCAACCTTAGTTTCTTGGTTTCTCTTATCTCTTATATTCAATCTACCATCAAGTCTTGTCAGTACTATATTCAAAATACATCTAAAATCCACCACCTTCACTGCTGTTACTTTAGACCAACGTACTTTCATCTCTCCCCTCTGCCATAAAAGCTAGTTTCTCTACTTCCAATTTTGCCTTTATCTAGTCTATTCTTATAGCAGTCAGACTGATGTAAAAATGTAATCTAAATAATGTCACTCCCCTGATCATTGTTCTTCAGTGACATCTTTTCATGCTTGGAATAAAATCCAAACCCTTCACCATCATCTACAAAGCCTCATTTAATCTGTATGTCTAATCTCTCTGTCCTTTTGTCTTACCATTATTCCCTTTGTTCACTCTGCTTCAGCCACATTCGTCTTCTTGCTATTCCTTTAACAAACTAAACTTGCTGTAGCTTCAGGGTCTTTTTATAATACTATTCTCTCCAACAGGAATGCTATTCCCCCAGATCTTTCATTCACACAATTTAGGTCTCTGCTCAGATGTTACCTCCTTAAAGGGGCCCTCTCTGACCACTCTATGTAAGATAATTATACACTTATCCACCCTATTCCATCCCTAGTATTCTTTCTTCATGTATCATATTACATGTTTGTTTACTTGTTTATTGTCTGTCACTCCCGCTTGAGTTCAAATTCCAGATGGGAGGGACTTAGTCTTATTCACCACTGTATCTTACTATCTACAATAGTGATGAGTCCATGGTAAGCACTCAATATTTGTTGAATTATTTTATTAGTTAAAAATAGTGCAGGGCTTCAAGGCATTTTCTTAGGAATCTCTGAATATAGTATAACTCCTGGGCCTCGTTGTATGTAATTAATCAAAACCAATCACCTGGTCGTAGGAAATGCAAATCATTTTAATACCCTTAAGGGGGATGAACCACCTAGCTCTGACATACCAAATATCAGGTATAAGGCAGCAAGATTAATTCCACAGTCTACACAGGGTAGTGGTAAGGGCTCTAATTATATTTGAGTCTTTGTGTTTAAAGTCTCTAGGGCCTGCAGAAGATTAGGGTTAAGGAAGGCAGAGAATGATATATGTAATATCACTAACTTTATATCTTCTAT